AATTCTCCAGAAGTCAAACTTAAAGTCCCAGAAGATTGTAACCGAATTGATAGCAAATTCAAAATAGCTGGCATGAAGAAACAGCAAGCTTTGAGAAAACTCAGGACCATTTAACATGCTCCCGAGTAAAACTAATGAACAGAAACACACGTTACCCAAGAGACTGGAACTCTACAAAAGAACCAAACAGATACCTGGAGCTGAAGAACTCAATACATGAGGTGAAGACTCATGAGAAAGCCCCGGAAATAGAGCAGACGACAGGGGAGAGAAGACAGAAATCTAGAAATGATCACGTGAAAGAGGAGAGAGACTTAAGATTTTAAAAATGAAGAGCCGAAACCGGTTTGGCTCAGTGGATAGAGCGTCGGCCTGCGGACTGAAGGGTCCCAGGTTCGATTCCGGTCAAGGGCATGTACCTGGGTTGCGGGCACATCCCCAGTGGGAGATGTGCAGGAGGCAGCTGATCGGTGTTTCTCTCTCATCGATGTTTCTAACTCTATCTCTCTCCCTTCCTCTCTGTAAAAAATCAATAAAAAAAATATATTTAAAAAAAAAAGAAAAAAAAAAGATTTTAAAAATGAAGAAACTATCTGACTCACTAAAAAAAAAGGAACATCTTCTTATCTTGGTATCCCAGATAAGAAGAGAGTAAAAAGGGAACAGAGAACTTATTTAAAGAAACAATAGCTGAGAACTTCCCAAACCTGACGAAGGAGCTGGGCATACAAGTATAGGAAGCTATTAAACAACTAGTTACCTCAACACAAAGAGCACTTCTCCAAAACATTATATTAAAACTGTCAAAAGTTAACGACATAGAATTTTAAAGGCAACGGGGGGATGGGGGGGGAGATAGTAACCTACAAAGGTACCCCCCATTAGGCTATCTGCAGATATCTCAGCAGAACTCCACAGGCCAGAAGTGAGTAAAATACATATTCAAAATACTGAAAAATACATATTAAAAATACATATTCAAAATACTGAAAAATAAACACTGCAAGCCAGGAAGATTCCATCCAGCACAGGTATTCTTCAGATATGAAGGAGATAAAGGCCTTCCCGGACCAACAAAAGCTGAGGAGCTCACCACCACTAGACCTGCATTATAAGAAATGTAAAGAACTCTTCTCCCTGAGATGAAACTACACACAACTTCAGTAAGGTGAGAAGAGACGGACGGAATCAGAAAATTGCAAAGCTATTTCAGAGTGGGGTGTTTAACACTAAATTACAGCATGACGGTTAAAGGGGGAAACGCATTAAAAATAACTATAGCTATTTCAATTTGGTAACAAGCTCACAACATAAAATGGGATAGTTTGTGGCAACAAAAAACATGAAAAAGGAGATGGAAAAGGACGAGATCTGTATAGTTAAGTAGTGTTAGGAAAAGTGAATAGCCACATGCAAAAGAATGAAACTAGATCACTACATTACACCATACACAAAAATTAGGTCAAAATGGATTGAAGATCTGAGCCTAAGACCTGAAGCCATAACATATGAAGAAGAAAGCATGTACTAAGCTCTTTGATATCAGTCTTAGTGATGTTTTTATGGATTTAACTCCAAAGGGAAGGGAAACAAAAGTGAAAATAAATAGAACATCAAACTAAAAAGCTTCTGCACAGTACAAAATGAAAGGCAAAAAACAATGGGAAAAGATATTGGCAAATCACACATAAGGTGTTAATATCCCCTGGGTTAGGGGCTAATTGTATGGTGATGGATGGTGATGAGCACAATATAGTACATACAGATGTTGAATTTTAACACTGTACACCTGAAATTTGTATATATAATGCTACAAACCAATGTTACCTCAATAATAACTAAAAAAAGAGTGGATGCCAAAACATGCTGTAGACTAGAACCTGACGAGCCTAGCTCTCGCTGACATTTGTGGAGGGGCTGTCCAACAATCCCAGGCTCCTGGCAGCCTGAAGCACTTGTCCGGGAGGGCTCCCTAGATGGCTGGCTGGCTGGCTGGCTTGCTGGCTGTTGAGCCAGCCTAGAGTCAATCCTTTACATCTTTCCATTCATATCTTGGCAGAGAAACTTCATGAAGAAATTGACAGGGTGATTGGGCCAAACCGAATCCCTTCCATCAAGGACAAGCTAGAGATGCCCTACATGGACGCCGTGGTGCATGAGATTCAGCGGTTCACCAATCTCCTGCCCTCCAACCTGAATCATGAAGCCACCCAGGACACAGTGTTCAGAGGCTACGTCATCCCCAAGGTCAGATGTGAGCTGGACTGCACACCCCTAGTACTATCCTACCAGCTCAGCCACTATCCTGCCCGGGGAGAGGATGGAGGGCCTAAGGACAACTCCTTCTGGCAGATGTGGCTCGGGCACCCCTAGCCGTCCTCCTGTGGACCTGGTGACCACAGAGATCGGGGAAATATGGAAAATGGGCTCCTGAGATAGTCCCTGCGGTTGGTGGTATCACCTGAGGATATTTTTCCATTGAATTTTAGAGAGAGTGAAAGGGAGAGAGAGAAACATCAATGTGAGAGAGACACATCGATTAGTTGCCTCCTGCAAGTGACCGGAATCTGCAGCCAAGGTACATGCCCTTGACCTGACTTGAACCTGGGACACTTCAGTCTGTGAGCCAACGCTCTATCCACTGAGCCAAACAAACTGGCCAGGGCTGTTGGTGGGATATTCCAACACCAGAAAACAAACAGCAACAACCAGCCCTTTACTCCAGTGAAAAGGTTAGCGCTCCCACTGCTCTTTAGACCTGACACCTGAGTTCTTCCTATCTGGTCCCCCACTGAACACTTTCCTTCTTGCACAGGTAAAATGCAAAACCCCCTTCTTCACTGGGGGCCTCCAGATCAAAGCCCACGCGTTGCTAACTTGACTGAGAAAGCTTTTGTTCTTCCAGGGCACAGTCCTAATTCCGACACTGGACTCCCTCTTGTTTGACAAACAAGAATTCCCTGACCCAGACAAGTTTAAGCCAGAGCATTTTCTGGATGAAAAAGGGAAGTTCAAGTACAGTGACTATTTCAAGGTATTTTCCGCAGGTAAGAAGAGTTCAGTTGTAGCCCCCTCCCAGGATTTGTCCCGAATTCCCGGGGTAACCTGCCATCATCTCAGACCTGCATCACGTCCTTATTCACAATGTGACCCAAGTGCGTGCCTCCCTGTTCAGAGGTTAATGACATCTTCTCACCAGAAGTCCTGGGAATGAGGTGTTGTGGATGGATTATCTTTCTGAACAGTCGATATTTCACTTCATTCAGGACTAAAACTCTTTAATAGAACTTAGGTAAAAAAAATCTTTCAAAAATGGTATTACCTAATTCTCTATCTGCTACTAAACAGAATGTAACGTTTGGTTACCTGGGCCATCATGGGACCCTCAGCCTTTCTTGGGCTGTCACCTCTGGGCCTGGGTCTCCTCCCCAGGTCTTCTCTCAGCTGTTGGTGTGAGGGAAGGTCCTATAACCAGCTCGGTAACTTTAACCGCTGATGGTATAGCATTGGCTTCTTGCCTGTGGGACATGGGTGAGCATGGGGTGGGCAGAGACCATTCTCCAACCTCCCATGGGTTTAGGCGGCTGCGTCCTGGTGGTTGAGGTGTGTGAAGGCTGGTCCCTGAATATGTGTTACTGATACTCTTACCCTGAAAATGTTCTGTGCTTCCTTTCAACGGGCAGAAGGGTCCATCCCACCTGTCTCATGTATACTGTTCTCACTGCAGGGAAGCGGGTGTGTGTCGGAGAAGGCCTGGCTCGCATGGAGCTGTTTTTGTTCTTCACCGCCATTCTTCAGCACTTTAACTTGAAGTCTCTCGTCGACCCCAAGGATATTGACCTCACCCCCATCGTGAATGGGTTTGCCAGCATCCCGCCCGATTACAAACTCTGTCTCCTTCCCCGCTCACAAGCGTGAGGCCCGGGTGCTCTGAAGATGGTAAAGGGGCATGAGGAAGTGCTCTCAGCGGTAGTGAGGGGGGGAGCGACTAGGGAGGCAGGGCCTCCAGACACCGTGCACACTGTCCTCAATAAACAGGTCATGCTTCAAAGCCAGCAGTGGTACCATCTTCCAGTCTCTCTCTGACGGACCGTCCTGCCTCCCTCTTGTAGGGATCCTCCCAGATGGCCCAGGACCGTCTCCCCATCCCAAGACCTCACCACATACTCAGAGGCCCCTTTGCTGGGTAACATCGTCACAGGTTCTGGGATTAGGATAAGGATGCCATTAGGCCTGTTGTTCAAACCAAGTCTCGGTTTCAGGTTTGATGCCTCAACTCTCCTGCTGACGGGAGAATTCCCACTGGGGCCTGTTCTTCCTTTTCCATGGAAACAGTGCTGTTCAGGCTGGGGCCTGTGTGGTCTCTCTCCACCCCCACCATTCACTGTCCTACCTGGGCATGGGAGCCTTTCAAGACAAGGAATCTCTTTGTACTTAATTTGCTGGATTTTGACCTGGAGCACAGACTTTCACGCCCAACACTGCCTTTAACCGGGTTGCTGCATTTTGGTGGATTTGAAACAGGCCTCAGAAGCACAGTCCCGAGTGTCTCCCAGCACACTGAGCGTTCCTAACATCATATTCTTATAGCAGGGTCTCGGTGATACAGTTTGTGCCCGGGAGAGCACACACTACACTCAGCCTCCACCTGCACTTCTTTCTCAGCCAGTCAGTGGTGAGTGTGGGCATGTCACTGACTGGCTGAGGTCTCCAGCACCCTGGTCCTCACTGTTGGGATTTCGGGGATGCTGTGTCATCCAAAGCTCGCTACGGAATGGAAGAAACAACCACAGGGTGGGTTCTCAGGCCTGCATCCCTCTGCCTGGGGACCCAGCGCAGTGGGTCCTGGAGGTGAGCAGACCAGAGACTGGGAGGCGAGGGAACCATTGATTCAGTGTCCTCTGAGCCAAGAGGCCGAGTGCGGCCAAAGCTTCACCCAGTCCCAGCGGCCTCTCCTCCCCTTCCCCAACCCCCCAGCGCGGACACAGCTGAGGCAGGTGGACAGAAATAATGCCTTTATTTCCTGAAGCCCAGCCATATGCTCCAGGGCAGGGGGGACCTCCTCGCCTAGGAGGGCATCAGGCCTGCTCAGTGGGCAGCTCTGGGTCTTTCTCTTCACTGACTCCAAGGGGCTTTGGATTAGCCTGTGGGAGATCAGGGTCTGAGATGGAAGTCTCCCCAAATCTGTGTACCCACACCCTCCCTGGGGCCTGCCCCCCCCCACCCCCCCTCACCCCCACTGACAGACTCTTCTAGAGGCTAGACTTTGCCTTGGCTGTGCCCCTGTGGGAAGATCATCCTCTGAGGACCCCCTGGACCCCCTCCTTGCCTCCCCCCCCCCCCCCCGCCCAGTTCCTTTCATGATTCCAGGGCTCACAGCTTCTTCTGGGCTGGCCCCATCCTCTTGTTTGCTCGGGGCTTGAGCAGTGACTTGCACTCCGAGCTTTTCCAGTTCCTCCTTCAGCCTGGACATAAAGGGATGGATAAGGGGGCGGGGGGGAACGGGAGGGGAGGAGAGGGAAAAGAGAGCTGGAGAGAGCAGGGGACAGAGGCAGGAGACTCCCTGAGCAGCCTCCCCTTACAGACAGGGAGAGGGGCTCCATGCCCACCTCTGCCTCCTCTGCTGCAGCTGCTGGCACTCCCCCTGCAGCTGCTCGTGGCGCTGGGCAGTGTCCTCCAGGAGCTCCTGGGCCTTTCTGGTCTCCTCCTCAAACAGATGGCTGAGGGTGGGGCCATCAGTGCTGTAGCCCCCCCTCTGCCCTTCCCCACCCCGCCCGTCTTACACGGCAGCCGCTGCCTCCTTGCTGCGGAGGAAGAGCCCCTCAGTGATGGCAGAGCAGCCCTTGGTACCAAACTGGGAGCTCAGACGATTCTTCACATCCTCCAGCTTGGCTTCTACCAGCTTCTCTGCAGCAGGAAGGGGCAGATGGGCAGGCCAGGGCAGAGCAGGGCAGGGCAGAGCCAGGCCCCCCCATTCTCACCTTCCTTGAGCAATTGCTCATTGCTGCTGTCCAGGGCGCCAATCTCCTGGGCCAGCTGCTCTGGACTCTGAGGGGGTAGAAAGGAGGCCCATGCTTATCTCCCACTTCCCCTCATTCGCCTCCGAGAAGCCTACTTGCATCTAGTCTTCACTCAGCATGACTCACTTCCTACCACCCTGGCCCTGCAGACATGCCAGGACCTCTGCACTGGCTGCTGCCTCTGCCTGGAACGGCTCTCCCAGCTACCTGCGGTGCTGTGCCGAGAGGCTCAGGAGGTCGTCCTCTGGAGAATCGGGGACCAGCCAGCCCTGTTGCTCTTCCTCATTCCTCTGCGTGGCCCCCTCATTGAGCCCTTCCATCCTGACATTCATTCTCTCTGCCTAGTTTCTGGTTTGGAGGTTGGGATCCCTTGGTGGCAAACACTGACCCCCACCCCCTACCTGTGATGTCCCCAAATATATCTATGGGTGTCCTTGATGGATGACCCCTCCTTAGCTCATCAGGATTCCTCCTGACCACTGAAGGGCCCTGAGAAGGCAGCAGGGATGGGTGGGCAGGACCAGCGAAGAGGATGAAACTGGGTGGCAGTGAGGGTGGTGATGAGGGTCTGACTGAAGGGGATTTTGAGGTATGGCTGTCACAGCCTGCTCAGACACTGGGTGTGGCGGGTGAGAGGAATGAAGCCCGGAGGATGACTGAATTTTGGGCCTGGTTCTGCCAAGGAAGATGGGGGGAAATGGGAGGAATGGATTTGAGTGACTCACGTGGAATTCCCAGAGGTCCTTGTGCTGGCTCATCAGTTCCTCCAACTGTTCCTCGAAATCCAATCTGGGGGCCAACCACAATTGGATGAGGGGTCCTGGGTTGAGACGCCCCACATCCTGGCCCAGGCCAAGGGTCTCCATGTACAGTCCTGGGGAGGGGGGCTTGCCCATACTCTTTGCTCTTCTGGGGAAACTTCACCACCTTGACCCTCTGGGCCTTAGCCTGGCCAGTTCCTCTTTTAACCCCCATCCCTGATATCACCCCCATCTATAACCCATTCCAGCCCCCGAAGGCCTCAGGCACCTGGCTTTACCTCAACTGTCTCTGTTTGCTCTTCTCTTCCTCAATCTGGAAGTTGAGGGCACAGATTCGCTCCTTGCACTCCTCTAGCAGGGTTTGCTTCCTGGAAAGAGGCAAGACAGCCCTCCATCATGTTCTCCGAATGTCTCCCCAGGAAAGGGCTGGAGCGAGGCTTCTGCTTCCTTCTCCTGAGATCTGTCCTAGGCCTCTAGGTGGAGTCCTTCTCTATAACTTGTGTGTGTGTGGGGGGGGGGGGGGGCGCGGGGGGCGCGGGGACATGAGCACATGCCCCCTGAAAATATCTTGGTGAGGATTAGGGAGATCAACAGGGACATGGCCAAGTGCAGAAGCACACACACATTCATCTCATCGGAATTTCCCAATCTGAGGATGCCAGGACTTGGTGCCTCTGGTCACAAAATGAGCTGAGTAAGTGTTCAGGAGGTGGAGAGATGGATACACAAATGGTCAGGTGGATGAAGAATAATGGATGATTGATGAGAGGCTGAGTGGACAGACGGTTGAAGGGACAGATAGGCAGGTGATTGAACAGCCAGCCATGGAACTGGTGGAAAGCGTAAAAGGCTTAGAAGAAAAACCAGCTAGAAGAATTGAATTGGTATTCTAGCAAAAAAATGATTATCCCCCGTGAGTGAGAACACCCACAACAGGCCTGCCTATTGCGAGAGCTGGGGTGAGAAGACACTCATGGGCCTTTCCATTTGACAGGAGAGCTGTGATCTACGACATTCCCCTCACTTTCTTTACCAGAATGAAGGGCAGGGCAGAGTGAGGCCCAGGTAGAGCACTTACCTCTGTGCCTCACTTTCCTTTTCCTGGCAGTGGAGCCGGAGGATCCTCAGGGTCTCTGCAGGGAAAGGAACCATCAAGGCATCAGGTTTGTGGAGAGGTAACAGGGTTCCATCATGCGGAGTCTCGTGGACACGTGGTGGGACTTTGTCATTTGCTACAAATGGGGTGGAAGCCACAGGAGGGATGCCAGCTGGTGCAAAGGCTCCGGTGCCCTGCAGGGAGTGAGCTTCCGCAGGGGCAAAGGCAGAAGCCTGGGGCAGCGTAGCTGTCGTTACCTTGCTTTTTACTCAAGATCTCTTTCAGGCGCACTTTCTCTCCACTCACTGGAAAACACAGCAACAGGTTCAGGTATCAGGGACCACCCACTGTACCCTCAGGGACACGGGCATTTTGGTACAGCACTCCTTCGAAAACAAATGTGGACCCCTCAAGGCAAACCCCCTCCCCTCTTGTGCCCACACTCCCTGTGAGCACCAAGGGCTCTGATGTGATACAGGGTGACTGACTGGAGGACCCCGTGGAATGCAGGCGTGTTTATATGGAGGGAAGAGAAAAAGGAAACACATCATCTGAAATGGGTCAAGACTGTGAGGAAACACATCAAGCAGGAAGGGGCATGTAATCAGGTGGTGCTGTCTTTGGATGGGATGATTGGGGAGGGTCTCTTTGAGAATGGAAATCTGAGCTAGAGCTGAATGATGACGTGAAGCAATGGGAACCGATATTATCTGCGGGGAACAGCCTAGCAAAGGCCGTGAGGTGGAAGTATGCTTGGAGGGTGTTTGGGGAATACTCCTACCCACAGTAGGCAAGGGGGAGTTTGGTCGGCTAGGACCTGCGGCTGGAGAGGGGGCACGGCCCTTGGCCACAGTACACATGCTCAGTGCCTGGAATACTGGGTTCAGGGAGGCATGACGTTGGGGACCTCTGAGTGAACCTTGGCACACTTACGTGAGTCCAGTTCCTTCTGCAGAGTCTCCCAGACAGTCCGGGCCTCTCCCAGCTCCTCACTGGCTTTCTTTTTTGCTGTGCCAAAGAGCAGGACAGACATTGTCAGGGCAGCCTCCAGCTACACCATTCCTTGCAAACAGTGACATTTCACATTTGTCTTCGAGCAAACCCAGAGGGGCCCAGATTTTATTGAGCAGAAACATGAGGCTTCCAGAGGCCTTTTTGTTGGGCTCTGTCTGCAGCAGGGCCAGGATAATGGGCCCAAGACAGCTGCATTTGGATGGACCCGTGCTTGGTTTAATGCTCTGCAGTTGCTGTTGTGAAATACTTAGTAATTTCTGAACAAGGGGTCCTGCGTTTTCATTCTGCACCGGGCCCTCCTGGCTGAGAGGCTAAAATTCCTGAGCTCACCTTGTTGCACCTCATTAATCCGGTTAATCAGGACCTCAACCCTGGGCTCTAGGCTTCCCGCTGCAGGGAGGAAAGGAGTTTGAGTGAAGACGATAGTGCAGGCAGAGGAACATGGGAACCCCCCAGGGGCTCACATTCAAGGTAGGGGCCATGAGGAAGAGATAAACCAAGATATTGACTCGGGCTGTGGTACCTGCAGTCAAGAGAAATAGAGGGGCTAGGGATCAAAGACTGAAAGAGTGGGACATGCTTCTTCAGATATGGGAAGGCCTCTTGAAGGCCCCAAATCAAGTGAGGGGGCAGGCCCTGCACTCCTGGGGTGGGAATGGGAGGCAGTGAGTGCAGAGGTCTGCCCTGAGATGGCAACATGGCTGGGAGGAGCCCGGTGAGGTGGAGGGAAGGGAGATGAAGGTGAAAACCTGCGTCTAACTTTAATCTCTTTCATGCAGTGAGTCAAGTGGGTGGGTAGTCAGCAAGGGGGTTGCAACTGGATTTTGGGAAAATGTTTTGCCTGCTATCCTCTTATACTTTAATTTTGGATCATAGGTCTATACTTTTATTTTCAAGAATTAAGTTTTAGAAGTAAGAGCGAATGAATTGATTTCCAAAGGTTGTGAACTGTGGGGCCTGGAGTTGAATCCACTTCTGTTTGAGCCTCAGGTATAACGGAGACATATGACCTTTCTGCAACTTCTTCACCATATCCATCAAGTTTTCAATTTTCTGTGAGGACTTGGCCTGCCCTGTGGAGACAAAACAGAACATTTCAGATCCTGTAGGAGAGGCCTGAGGAAGGATCCGACAACCTTGGGCTGGGACTGAGATGGGCTGAGGGCAGACCTCCAGTCAGAGAGGTGCCCGGCTGGCTCCTTGTCTCGAGGCGGACACTGCACGAGAGATAAACTGAGCCCCTTTGTGAGCAGCTTTCACTAACAGGTAAATGACACCGCAGATCTCCCTTCACTAAAACTCAGGGTGCGGGTAGGGATGCACTCTCACTGCTGCTACTGTTCAAGGCTGGGTCCGCGCTCGCGATGTAATAGTGAAAGGAAGGAAAGGAGGGATATAAGAAACTGAAACAAGGAGTCAGAAATCACTGCAACTGGCAGACACCATAATCAACCAGAAAGTGCTAGAGATCTCATTTTTAAAACCCCACAAGGAATAGGAAGAACACGTAATAAAACGTCTCATTTAAGCATATGTAAATATAGAGCTTCCCTGTACACAATCGTTATTCTGAAGCCTCCCAGTAAAGTATTTCATGTTGACTTGTTATAACCAATATAGGCACTTGTATTTTTCACTCCCTAATAAAGTAGATCTAGGTAATTATTACTAATGGCATTAACATTACAATAAAGATAACCGGACATCATGAGACACTTAGGTAAAAATACAAGGTAGGATTCTTGACCAAAAATGACACATACTTACTAAGCCTCTTAATTTAAATATCAAGTCAGAGGAAACACAGGGACAGGGGAACATGTTAAATGGCTCATGAGTATGAAATGAGCAACATTCCGATTGGGAAGCTCCACAGGAAAAGCAACCCAGCTTCTTTAACAAATAAATTTTGGGGAAAGGGGAGAAAGGAAGACCCTTACAGACTAAAAGGGATTAAAGAGACATGTTAACCAATTTCAGTAAACAAACTGCATTTAGATCTTGATTCAAACAAATGCACTTCAAAAAATATTGATGACACAATCAGGGAAATTTGAAAATTGACCAGATAAGTTGATGAAACAAAAGAATGATTGTATCTCTTAAAATTTCAGAGGCCACAATGGTATTGTGGTGAGCTTTCTGAAAAGAGTACTTATCCTTTAGAGAACGTTTAGAGATGTGCATGGCCGTATCTATGGGTTACGTGCTTTGATGCCTGGGATGCTGTGAAATGAAACAGTGGAGGGGTGAGGAGAAAGAGCAAACCAGACTGCCCAGAGCTGATCGTCGTTAAAGCTGAAAGACGGGCTCGTAGGGTAATTATACGTTGTTCTCGACCTCTGTATAGGTTTAAGTCTTTTCATAATAAAAATTTTGAAAATCAACCAACCAACTAATCAATCAATCAATCTAGGGAAGCTAAACAACCATTTCTGCATGAGAGTGGCGAAAAGGATGGTTAACCAAAAATTACACAAATGGCCAAGAAACATTTTGAAAGAGGCACACCCTCGAATCATAACGAAAGAGATGGAAACCACGCCTTGTGCCCCGGAGGTGGGTGAAGATGAGGAAGTGTGACAGCGCCCGTTTGGGCTGCCGTGGGCCACGGGCCCTTCCACCCACGGGCACACTGGAGACCAACGTGACCTCTGGCAACCATGTGGCCGCAGCAACATGTTGAAGACAACCCCACTTCCAGGAATTTACCCATCAGACATACTCAGATAAATATTCAAAAGGGCACGCGAGATGACACTGAAGCAGTGTCTGTTGATGTCAAAGTGGGAAACCCATGGAGAACTAAGGCTTCATCCCCACGACAGGGCTCTGTGCAGCCGTCAGTCCCCAAATACGCACCCACCGCGTCCACGTAACCTCTGGCTGGAAGGACGGGAAAGGGTGTTTACTGTTCACATACACTTCTGCGTAGAGTTATATTAAGTTAATAAATTTCTGCGTAGAGTTATATTAAGTTAATAAATTTCCCCGTAACCCCAAAATGACTTTTTAAAAAAATATATTTTTATTGATTTCAGAGAGGAAGGGAGAGGGAGAGAGAGAGAGAAATATCCACGATGAGAGAGAATCATGGATCAGCTGCCTCCTGCACGCCCCCTACTGGGGATCGGGCCCGCAACCCAAGCCTGTGCCCTGACCGGAATCGAACCGGGACCTTGAGTCCGCAGGCCGAGCCATCGCTCCTTTCGGGCCTTGTCCGTACTGTTTCCATTCTCCGGCGCTGGTCCTAGGAAGGGCGGGCTGGGGCAGCAGCAAATCGCTGTCCAATGAGCCAACGACTCTCTCACAAAACAGCCTGTGTAGTATGAGTCCCCTATTTCTGACCTTCTATTTTAAAACAATTCCACATTTACTTAAAAGTGGTAGAAACAGAAGCCGCAGCCCCTGCACGCCCTTTCCCGGGCGCCCCAGGTGTGCGGCTGAGCTGCAGACACCCCGCTTCGTTACCCAGCACACCCTGCGGGGTCGTCGGAGGTCAAGGGCACTCGCCCTGCAGGCACCCCTCCTGACGACATTAACATCGGACCCTCGAACGACGGTTAAGAAATGTGCCCAAGGAGTGCCTAGACCGTCCCCCCAGAAAATCAAACAATAAGATTTAAAATGTGTCCTCACTTGTGTGTTCCCTTCAGAATCCAAACCCCTTCTCCGCCGCCGCCGGACAGACGCCCTCTGTGCACCCCGCGCAGATAATAAGCTTTTCCCGCAGATGCTAGGCCGCGGCCTGCGGATACGGAGGGGAAGCCACCTGCGCTCCCGCCCGTCCCCGACGGAGGCCCGCACCCCCCGCACTACCTTCGGCCTTCCCAGCCTGGTCCGTCTTCCCGGTCCCCGAGGACTCAGACCTCGAAGGCCCCGGCCGCCCAGCCATTTCCTCTCAGCTCGTGGGCGCCTGGTTGGCACCTCCGCTGGGATTGGACGGCACCCGCGAGGGGGCGGGGCTTCCGTAGCACGTCTGCGCAATGCGCTTCACACCACCTTCCGGGAGAGCTACCGCAGGATAACGGCTCTGGGCAAACGCCGGAGAAAGTCCTTAAGGGTAGAAGAGGGGAGGGCCGGCGTGCCGACTTCCGGGCTGCCGATTGGCCGGTATGAGGAATCTGATCTGCGCATGTGCAGAGGCCTCCCGGGCGCGCGCCCCTGTGGACGTCGCTGGCGCTGCAGCACGTGCTCCTGTGCAGTCCATCGGGGAACGGAGCTAGAGCCTCAGTTCCGAGGTGCTCCTCGCTGCACACACCAGAGCTTTACAGTGTCACCGAAGACTCCTCGCTCAGGCATCGGGAGCGAGGCAGACGGTGTCAGCTCCACGGGACTAGCCTTGGCTGCACGTCTAGGTAGGATGGAGGGGAGAGTGCAAGGGTGCAGCATGACCCTCCTTCCTCCTAGCTTGATCCCACGGCTGGCCCTGCTACCTGTGGACAGAGAGCGGCCGAAGGTGGGGCCGAGGGGGTGAACCGTCTCGGGGTCTGCCGGGAGGGCAGGGGGTGCGGGAAAACCCTGCCCATAGGGGACGAGGTGTCCTACCCCGCGCTGCGGCAGGTGGTCACCTGGGGTGGTGCAGGTGTAGATGCAGGTGCAGGCGCGGAATTCTCGTTTCTGGGGAGAGGCATGGCTGCGGGGCCATCCCCGGGCCAGTGGACCTGGGTGCAGTCAGTGCGGGATAGTTTCCAGCCTGTTCACTGTATACGAAGTCTGTTCTGGGACAGGCCAACCAGAAGGAGTAGTCTCAGCGCTGGCACCTCTGTGTTAAAGCCCTCACCCATCTTCCAATCAGAGAGGTGAATGCTGACAGTGGGGGTTCCCAGTGACTGAACTGGGGTGGCATGATAGGAAATGAGGCCAGGAGCGCCAATGAGCCTGATAGTCTCAGCACTGTGGGGATCATAGAACCTTTCTTCTCTAGGCTGGGGGCTGGGGGCGGGGCAGGGGGACCCGGTTGGTAGTTCTTACACTTGGGAAACAACAGGATTAGGTCCTTAATTTTTTTTTTTTTACCCTTTTTAATACTTTAAAAAATTAATTACAAAAAAATAAAATACATGTAAATAGAAAAAAAATTATGAATATAACCTGTACACCCCGCCCCCACCCCCACCCTTAATTGCTGTCATTCGGAGGGGAGTGGCCCCCAGCCAACCCGGCCCCACCCACCCCCACCGCCTCTACCCGAAGTCCCGGCGGTGGTAAGAGTCGGGGTCACAGTATTTTGTGACAACCACTCTGTTGGCGAACTTGCGACCTGTCAGGCCCTGCATGGCTTTCTGGCAGTCACACACAGAGGCGAACTCCACGAAGACCTTCCCGCAGCCGGGCACCTCCACGCCGTCCACGGGCCGGGGGATCTCGATGGACCTGACCAGCCCGTGCTTGCTGCACTCGTCCCGCACGTCCTCCACGATCTCCTCGTACTCCTCGTCGTCCAGGAGCTCCTCGGGCAGCACCGTGTTCAGGAGGCACAGGACCTCCGTGGGCTGGCCCCCCATCTGCACCTGGGAGCTCAGCAGGCCTGGCACTTGCAGGGTCACGGGGGTCTGGTGGATGGTGCTCGGCATGGCATTCTTGGCCCCCACACTCGCCCTCTGCACCTGCAGTGTCCTGTCCCCCAGCTGCATCCTGTTCAGCCCCGCCATGGCCTGATCCGTAGCGCTGATGTCCACGTACTCACAGAAGGCGAAGCCCTTGGAGAGCCCGGTGGCGCCGTCCTTGACCAGGTGGAAGGCCTTGAGGGGCCCGAACGATGTCAGCAGCTCTTTCACCTGGTCCTCGTGCAGGTAGTTGGGCAAGCCCCCCACGAACAGCTTGTGCGCAGAGTCCGGGACCACGGTGGACACCACACCGGGCAGGTAGACAGAGGGGTTCTCCGACAGGCCGGGCAGAGGCTGGTAGTCGTGGGGCCGGCGGATCTTCAGCGACTGGCCCTGGAAGATGATGCCGTCGAAGGCCGTGGCCTGGGTGGTCTCGTCCACGGAGCGGAACTCCAAGAAGGCGAAGTTCTTGTCTTGGTTGATCTGCACGGCCAGGACGGGGTGGCCCGGGGCCTGCGTCAGCC